GGAGGGAAAGGCCGGGCTCTGTGAAGGTGCATTGCCTCGGCCAAGCCCACGGGGAGCCCTGAAGCTGAAGGGGCCTTGCAGAGTTGTCTTATGTTGAGCTGTGGTGGCTGGGCTTTCCCACCTTTGTGGTCATCGGTCATGACTGTGGGCCACCTGGGGAGGAGTGTGGCCTTGGGTGGGGTGGCTCTCTGCAGCAGAGGCTGTCCCTGACAGGCTGACGACTGAACGCCAGCTGCACTATCAGCAGTGGGGGCACATCTCTCCCTGTCCCCACCAGATGTTCCAAGCACTTATTTCCGTGTGGGTCCTGGACCACTTAGTAGGTGAGCAAGTCACAGCCCATTGACGTGGGAGCATGGCCTCGTATTTCTGGTTGATGAGAAATAGGAATTGCTGCTTACAATGGGAATCACGCTGCTAGTGCTCAGTTTTGGATGGAATCAGCACTTAAATGTACCTCGCACTTCGACCCTGACATCTTCAGATGTCACAGATCTCTGGGCTTCACCGTTCTAGACAAAATACTTACCTGAACTATCCGAGGACATGGCAGCAGAGGTGGGCACACCCCAGTGACACCCCAGCTCCTCCTGCTTCACAGCCTCCCTGGGATGTGACTGGAAGAGGGTCTTCGTTAGGACCCTCTGCGTCTCGGCTTCCATTTGTCAGAGTCACAGAGGTCTTATTTTCCCAAAGCGTAAGAGGGTGGTTTGGGTTCTCCTTGCCCAAGATGATTCCCAAAAGGGAGACAGTAAAAATTCTGGACTAGGCCGTGAGTTGTAGGGAAGAAATGTTGTAGTGGTTACGCATCCCCTGTCTTGCCTTTTACTTACAAGGCAAACGTGGGGAAGTCCCGTAATCTTCCCGGGTGTCTCTCCTGTGTTCTTTGGGAAGGAAAGGATTAGGCTAGACGATCTCTAAGGCCCTTTGTACTGTTGCGGGTTTTTAATTCCCACTTGCATGGTGGGAGGTGGCCTGGCCTCATTCCCTCCCGTCCTCGCAGTTCCAGCTCCTTTGCTCTGCTCTGCCTTCCTGCATCCCCCCTTCACTGCCCGCCTGCCTCCATGTTCCTGTTCCCCGGTGTCCTTCATCCCTGACCCTTCTTCCTCTGAGCAGCCCTGCCTTCCCTCCCAGTGCGGGGCAGGACGAGAGCAGCGCTGACCAGGAAAGTGAGGGCTGGTGCCGGGGCAGCGCCCGCCCGCCTCGCTGTGTCCACTCTTTCCCCAAAGCTAGAAACTGCTAAGCCAGGTGATGAATCTGCTTTAACACGTCTCATTTCCTGGAAACTTCCCAACTGCTGCTCACCTCCCCTGAGAAGCTGAGAATGACTGATTTGGGGGCAGGCTTTGAAAGTGTGGCTGCAGTAAGAACGGGAGTGGTGAGAGGAGCTTCCTCCCAACACCGGGGCTGTCACCGGAGAGCCAAGCTGTCACTCCTGGCAAGGTGACAAGACCCTGATGCTCTGATGGGAGGCATCCCAGTGGTCGTGGCCATCTGCTGAGTTTGCCCCCTCCCAAGATGGCAAAGCCGGTTTCACAAGACACCAGCACATGCCAGGAGCAAGTGAGACAGGTCTGTTCAAAGCTAGAGAGAGGGAGCAGCCTTCCTAGAAGGTGCCGCTGGTACCTGAAAAGGTACTTCTGGTTGATGTACCAGTACACAGGCCTTGTCCTAAAATGAGGCTGTTTATTTCCATCACTTGCTTGATTTCAGACCTCAGAGCCCACATTTTGTTCAAATGAGGAATACTGCCCTAGATGAGCGTTCTCAGCGAGGTCTGGGCTGTTTAGTGCCACTCCCCAGAGCACTGAGCTGAAGAGGCAAGGGCAGGGGTCTAATCTCAAGAGTTTAAGACCCTTGAATGTCTCTGGCTTTTCCCAGCTCTCCCATAAAGCATGTAAAAGGTTTGACCAGGTAAAAAGTGCTCTTCTGTGTAATTTCTTTCCAGCCATGTCAAGCTACTCGTGTTCAAGTCGAGTTCAACAGGATAATGCTAGATAAACCCTGGTATCATTGTGGCTGAGTACACTAGAAGTTCATTTCTCAGTCACATGAAGTCCACTGGGCACCAGGGGCTCTTCCATGTAGCCATCGGAAACTGAGGCTTTCAGAGACCCTGCCTTTTTACCATGAGGCTTCCCAGGTTGACCAGGGTGGCATATTCCGCTTGCAGCAGGGCTTCAGGGGCCAGATCTGCAAGCGTGCACATCCCTTTTGCACACACTCCATTGTCCAGAGCTCAGTTACACGGCACTAACTGCAAGGGAGCCTGAGAAACTCAGTCTCATCTTTGCTGGGGGAAAGGAGAAAACCAAAAACCAAAAACTATGTCCCAGCGAGTGTGGAGGATTCATTTCTAGAAAATCACCTCTCATCGTTGTCATGGTGTCTGTCTGTCCGTCCATCCATCCATCCATCCACCCATTGTCTATCTACCTATCTATCCCATTATCTGTCTATCTATCCATTATCTGTCTATCTATCCATTATCTACCTATCTATCCATCCATTAAATATCTTCTATTTATCCATCATCTATCCATCCATGCTTTATCTATCCATTTATCTTCCTATCCATACATTATCTATCTTTTTTCAATTGAAACTTAGTTGATTGTATATATCTTTTGGGTACAGAGTTGAATATCAATACCTGTGTGCAATATGTGATGCTCAAATCAGGATAATTATTATATTCAACATTATACAATGTAATCATTTTTCATGGCCCTTTACCAATTCATCCCTTAACCTCTCCTCCCTCTCCCCCTTTCCCATGTCTGGCGACCTCAGTTCTGTTCTCTCCTTTTGAAAATTCAATGTATTATTGTGATTGTTGTATCTTTCTTTC